GGGGGGGGGGTTAGCCGGTTAGGGTTTGTTGTAACCAAAAATAAAAAATTAACTAATTTTGAAATTTTTTAGAAGTCCGGCCAGACCGGCCCATTAAATGTAAAGTTGAGCCGTTAACGTTAAGTTTGATTGAATAAACTTTGAGTGACGTGTTTAATATGTATTGGAGGTAGCCAGATAATAGTGTGACCGCGGTCGCAGCAGATGTGAGCTCGGATGGAGGATCAGGGACCCGTTTAAGTGAGTGACTCTGGCGGAGAAGGGTCAGAACAGTACACGTGGAAGTCTAAGATCAGGTGGTGTCATTTCAAATGCTATTGCTGCCACGTCATGAGTGGCGCATAAGTGAGAGATGGAGAAAAGGAAAGAGAGAGAGACAGATAAGAAAGAGATGGGAATGGTGGGGCTCGGAAAGCAACTCGTGCATGGCAGGGCTCTGGGGGCCGCGACTAGCGAGGTAGGGTTTCCTTTTCTTTTCTTTTCTCAATTTTTTTTCTCTTAATTTTTATTTTGATATTTTTGCCGCTTGGTAATTGTATTTGAGTGCAGTTCTTCTGTGCTGTGCCGGTGTCTGTAGTGTGGGACCCATTGGGTTTTGGTTTCTTATCGTGGGTCCTCGATCCTGCTGATTGAGGTTGGGGTCCGACGGGGCTCCTTTAAAAATGAAGGGACGAACCTCTCTCACTGTCACCTCTCAAATACGCTCTCCCCCGGGAGTCTCTCTCCGTCTCCCCCTCGCGCAACACACACACTTTCACTTCAGTTTGTAACTCGAAATCGGTTCAATCACCAGCGATATTGATTCTCTCTCAATTTCTCAACCTGATTTCTGATCCCGTTGGATTGGGAGCTTCTCGAAAAGTGCTTCTCAGTTCTCACGGCTCGATCGCATTGGTTTTGGGGCTTTTTCTTTTCAAAGGAGAAAGGGGAAAAAGGTAAACGATTGCTCTCCCTCTCTCTCTCTCTCATCCATACTCTATACTTGGCCAAAGCCCACAACCAAGCCCCATTCCATTTTCCTTTGTTTAATCTACAACTCAGTGCTGCAGCAGCTCTGCAAGTGCAAACAAACAGAAAAATGGTATTAATCACATTCACCAATCTATGATCTCATCTGTCTTCGATCGGATACATAAAGAGACCACCCATTGCATCACTATCATCCTCACCATGTTTAACTGGTAGTCTGCTACTCTGAGTTGCGTTCCTCTGCAACCATTCATCCGGAGAATGGCGTACATGTGCGCCGACAGTGGAAACCTAATGGCGATCGCTCAACAAGTCATCAAACAGAAACAGCAGCAACAGCAACAACAACAGCAACAACAACAGCAACTCGTAGGGATCAACACTTTTTCTCTAAACCCATGGAGCGGGGCCCATCATCCCATCGCCAACCCTCCCTCTTTTGCTTATGGCCTTGGCGCCGGATTCTCTGATCCATTTCCCGTCGCCGGAACGTCAGATACTGGTGAACCTGTCCTCCCGTTTCCGCACTTAGACGACCCACATCATGCAACCGAGTTTAGGTTTTCTTATTTGGGGGGAAACAATGGAGGCGAGTTCGACTCCGACGAATGGATGGAGAGTTTAATGGGCGGAGGAGAGTCGACGGAAAGCTCGGAGCCTCCCTCCGGCTGCGACGCATGGCACAACCACGAGTTCTCTCTCTGCGGCGGCGATCCCTTCGTTTGTAGTTCTAGTCGGCTCAATCTCTCCTCTCCTTCCCCGTCCGACCTCAATCGGCTCGTTTTCTCAGATACCCAGAAAAATCCCAACACTCTCCAAGCTCAAGTCCCGACGTGGACCCCACTGCTGCCGCCACCTCCACATCCACCCCCACCCCCACCACCACCACTAGCTGATGATTCCCCAACGACTCATCCGCCGCCGTTCAACAGGGTGAGTGATGCTGCTGTCATAGCTCAATCACCTGAAACGGAATCTTCGACGCCGATGCTGAAATCTCTCCTGGACTGTGCCCGACTGGCCGATTTTGCACCGGAACGAGCCGTCAAACCACTTATTCGACTCCGGGAATCAGTGTCCGAACGTGGCGATCCGACGGAGAGAGTTGTCTTTTATTTCGCTGAAGCTCTTTACAGTCGGGTTTCTACAAAAACTGCGAGAACCGCACCAACGTTTGAGACTTCGTCGGAGGATTTCACACTCCCTTATAAAGCTTTAAACGACGCCTGCCCATATTCGAAGTTTGCCCATTTGACGGCGAACCAAGCGATACTCGAAGCGACCGAGACGGCGAATCGGATACACATCGTCGACTTCGGAATAGTTAAAGGAGTTCAGTGGGCGGCGCTCCTCCAAGCCTTGGCAACTCGGTCCACCGGAAAACCCTCTCGCATCCGATTATCTGGCATTCCTGCTCCCGCACTCGGGGGATCACCGGCGGAATCTCTGTCCGCCACTGGCAATCGTCTCCGTGATTTCGCCAAGCTTCTCGATCTAAATTTTGAGTTCGAGCCTATCTTGACGCCAATTCAGGAGCTTAACGAATCAAGCTTCCGAATTGTCACGGACGAGGTTTTGGCAGTGAATTTCATGCTTCAGTTGTATAACCTGTTGGACGAGACAACAGTTGCCGTGGAGAGGGCTTTGCGGCTGGCGAAATCTCTGAAGCCCAAGGTCGTGACGCTCGGAGAGTACGAAGCGGGCTTGAACCGGGTTGATTTCCTGAACCGGTTTAAGACTGCATTGCGGTACTACTCGGCGGTCTTTGAGTCGCTTGAGCCGAGCTTGACAAGAGACTCTACGGAGCGCCTCCGGATTGAAAGCTTGCTGCTTGGGAGTCGGATATCTGGTGTTGTTGGACGGGAAGAAGGGCCAATGAGACGAGAAAGAATGGAGGAAAAGGAGCAGTGGAGGGTTTTGATGGAAGGGTGTGGATTTGAATCTGTGGCTCTCAGCCATTATGCGATGAGTCAGGCAAAGATTCTTCTGTGGAACTACAATTACAGTTCTTCGTATTCTCTTGTGGAATCACCACCCGGGTTTCTTTCGCTTGCATGGAATAGCGTTCCCCTTCTCACTGTTTCGTCATGGCGCTGATGAGTTTAGAATCTTTAGATAGCTCTTTTACAATTTCCACCTGGATATTTTTTTCTCTGGTGTGGAAGGATTGCTCTGCTCTTCTCTTGTTAGGTGCTTAAGTGCTTTTGGAAGGAACAATGAGGAATGGGTCTTGTTATGGAACTCAGCTATTGTCATGGAAAATCCTAACCAAAGTTTAACTGGCGTAGATAGTTCGCCATTAGTGCATGTTTGGAACTTCTTGATCAGAAAAAAAAAATGAATTGCTTTGTATTTTGGCATTTTGTTTTTTATCTTTCTTTTTTCCATTCTGTATACTTATCCTGGTTCCTTCATAGGTTTGATTGGGACAAGCTGTAAAAAGTAACGAAGAAAAGGGATCTTCTTCGTTAGTTATCTGTACATAATTTTGGCTCTCTTCTGATTCAATGTCTGAGAAAAGTAGAGAGCGAGCTTATCTTCACCATTCTCCTTGAGGTTTTTCTGTATCTGTTCCAGATTTTCCAATTTGGAATCTCTCGCCAGTCACCATGTTCATCAAAATACTTGCAATTTGAGTAAAGCAAAGCTTAGTGTGGAAATGGGTCATTTTCTTTCAGGGGGGCCTGACAAATGCCCTAGTGTTAGATCGAGTGCAGGATAGCGGAAAGTTGGAATTATGAAAGAAACCTTCTGCAGTTCTCACCTTTCCCTTTCTTCTTTTTCTTTCCTTAATTTTTCTTGGCAATCTTCAATTTTCTGACCCGTTTTATCCTCTTCCCTTAAACTGGCTTTAATGGCCGTCTTTTTCTAAACTGCAATGGAAAAGTTAGGCCTGCCTTCATTTCCGTCGGGATCCGGATTCAGTCAGTGCAAGGCGCGTTCCAACGACCTTTATAAGCCTTGCATTGCGAATATCTCAATGAAATCAAACACAGAAGTACGGAGATATTCCCAATGCAAGTTGTAAAGGCTATTCGAACGGATGTGCACTGATTGAAATCGATCTCCGTCCGTTCCAGATTTTCGAAAATTTTACCGTTGGTTTTCGGTTATACGAAAGTTCCATTATACCCTCCATTTTTCCCTTTTTTCTCTCCTGGCCGGATGGCCATAGCTAACAAGTTTGCTGGAGCTCCAAACGACCAAACCACAAGCACAACGTGCAGATTAGATTATTTTTCATCTTAATTTAGCAGAGATTCAGAGGCATTCCAGACGAGCGAGGGAGCTCGATTTGAAACTCGGGAATCGGCCAGCTATGTTGGATCTTGTGTCACAACACAAGATTTCCCAATGACGTTCCCATCTTTTTCTTTTTCTTCTGTCTTCCTATTTTCCCAATTATAATATTAGACCGAGTGATAGAGAAGATTTCCGCCATTTACGAAATACAAGAGTCCGATGCAGAGAGCAACTAATCAAAGCCCTAATGCCCTACTGAAGCTTGTTGGTTAATGGCTGTTTTGTCTACTAGAACAACTACAAACAGATCAGCTCAATCAGCGCGCCCCTTTTCGTACGATCCGGTTAGCTTATCGTAATTTTTATCTATATGAACCTAGTCAAATCCTATCTGATAACTAGATGACTTGCTTTATTTTTCTAAACTTAGAAGTTTTTTATCCATGAACTATTTTTTTATACGTTCCAACTACTTGTTAAAATGCTGAAATCGTGATGTGATCCCAAATCTGGATTCCATCTCGAACCAAATTCTAACAGTTTTTTACCGACACGCAAGCATTTTGACAAAAAAAAGGAAAAGAAGTGATGCCCATTGTTTGGCTAAATAATGGTGAATAACGAAATTCAATCACAAATCACATACGATGTTAATCATCTTATTAGTACAAATTGAAATGCAAATAAAAAGAATTGAACTAAACTGAAGTATTTAAATCTTTGGGGTGGAGTTTCATCGTCATCTCGGAGCTCCGGAGGCGGGGCCAGTAGTAGGCCCCCGTTCAGCGGCAGAGCCCAGTCGGTCCACACGCCCAAGAGAAATGAGATATTAAATCGGATTAATGGAGAAGAGGCCAAGCGAAAACGACTGGAATTGAGAACACTTGGAGATTCTGCTGGCTTCTGTTTGGCGTCTGGAAGAAGCTTGTCCTTCTTTCCAAAAGGGACGACGACATTTGAAAGCTCCTTTTGAAATAAACCCACCCCCGGCTGGACTCTTTCTCTCTCTCTCTCTCTCTGCGGGAGGGAGACTGTAATGGTGCTCACTCACGTCATTCTTTGGGTTTGTTGGCCCCCCCGGGGGATCCACTTTTCCTCTAAATTGCGTTTGACGGTGCCACGTGTTATCCATTTCGACTTCTTGTGTGGGATGAGGCCAATTGGCAGGCTATTGATTCAGTTCAACTTCAGAGGTCTGTCTCTAAGCTCTAACCTCGTCCGGGTCCTATACTAAGAAGGGGTAATTTAGTCATTTGAATCTGCAATTGGTAAAGTGATAATGGAACGTGATGTGTCAAAGGCCAAAGCGACTCAAAAAATCCGTAGCGTCGTCCGCCTCAGGGTGTACGTAACATCTAGCCTAAAATATCAGGGTGCTAGTTGTAGGTTTGTAGGGCAGCTTGGGCAGGTATAGCTTACGTCACACACTCTATTCACCCGTTTATAGCGTTTGAATTGGATCGGTCTTTTCAGAAGAACCCCCCGCTGCCCGCGCCGAACGGGTAGTATAGTACTACTGGTAGCATACTCTGAGCTCTCTCCGTCTCCATCACTCACTGCCTCTTTTGCCTGCAGACGACAACGTCCATCAGACTCAGTCCTGTAACGTCACTCTCCAGTTTCTTTCTTGCACGCAGAATCCGGAGGGTTGAGGGCAGAAGACACAAAGACCGAAAGCAGAATACTGAAAAGCCAATTCCAATATGTGATTTTTACAGTAGCAACTGCAACCTTCTCGAATTCCTCCTCCACAGCTCGTGAAGGTTCGATTACAATCATAAATCAGCTTATTCCTTCGTTAGTTCAGTTGACCATGAAATTATAAAAGCCGAGAATGGGGTGGTGTGTAGCCAAATCCTATTAGATAACGATGATCGCCATTTTCATCTCCTATCATATATTTCGCTTTTCGCATAGATGGAAGTGAGATTTTGCTCTTCTTTACAGCTCAAATGAAGTCAAATTATTTCGTTGATGACTGTTCAATCTATCTCATATTCACCATTACTGGCTGTTAGACCAATGCCGATTGCAATCGTCCACACTAGTAGGGGGCTTTCTGCTGAATTGCAACAATTGTCTACTATGAATCACTCTCACTTGCAAGGTTTTTAAAATCGGACCGGACTGGAAACCGTTTTGGGTCCGGTTTCTGGGTTGAAGGGTCCAAATGAATAATCCGTTCTGACAGAAAAATAAAATAATTTAAAAAACTCAACAACAGCCAAAAACTATTTTCGGGTCAAACAGTTTGATAGCCCAAGCATCCATAGCAGCAATTTGCTGACCAAATCAACGTTAAACAGAACTTGTCAAGTGACTGATTTCCCAGTTTTCCAATCCAATCGTCCGATACGGTCCGCTCACTTGCATTTTAGGGGGTTTTCTGTTGAATTATTAACTATTAGTGGGTTGGCTTTTTGTTTGTCTAGCATCTTGAATCATTCACTTGCATTGATTTCTATCTTTCTTTCTCCGTTTGTCATTATACTTTTCTGTCTAGATTGTTGCAGATATTCTTGTACATATATATACCAAAACAAATTTGTAATTCGGAAGAGTGCAAACTGCAAACACAAATATACGCAGTACAATTACAAGTTTAAAATACAATTTAGAAATACCGTGAACAAGATTTTACACTACACAAGGTTTGGAAACAAGTTTAAATTTGCACTCTTCCCAAACTGAGCCAAGGATAAACTTCAAAAATTTGTGTTTTTAAGCACTCTCGAACTTATCCTTTAGTACAATTGTCATTTTCCCAAGCGGGCAAGTTGTGCCCTAAGAGAGGTGTATACAAAAACCCAATACAACATTTTTTTTTATTATTATTTAAGACAGTTAAACACCGGTAGACATTATATAGGGTTAAAAAATAAAAGCATTTCTTCGTATCAATAAAAAGCTGGTGGGTTAAATCAAAACGCCTACATACAAAGCAAGGGTGTTTGCACATTTCTTTCGAGAAACAAACATGGAACCAAAATGCATACTTATTGGTATCAATAGTATTTATTTAATAAATACTTTGTACGATTTTATCTAAAAAAATAAGACAAAATCTGATTTTAACATTTTTTGACACCTCGAACACACCAGTAGGCACCAAGGTGACTAGACCTGATAGAGAACAGGTGCATTGAAAACATGGCGTGTTGATTGTAGAGTCTCTCATACACATTGTTGTTATATATCCTTTTCAAGTTTGAACTCTATCTTATCCTTCTTGTAGTTATATTTGATATAATCCAGATATCTTAGCCATTGGTTGTGATTCAAACGCTGCTCTACAAGGTTATTTGATATAATCCACATATCTTGTTTATTATTTCTTTTATCTTATACCAACAGTCAAAAAAAAAAAAAAAAAAAAACTGATTTTAGGTTTGTTGGGTGCATTTGGCGGATTCATTGTGGGGAGCCCGTGCATTCTTTAACATAGAGGTAGCCACCTTAAATTTTATTCTATAATGCACTTGCGAATAGAAAGAGGTATGATATCATTGGGCCAAGATTGATTTTTGGATATTCACGAACCACTTAGATGTGGCCAAATTAAGTATTGGTGTAGTTATATGTTGATCATGACCACTCATGTAACTCATACTACTCAGGGGTAAAATCAAAGTGGCAAAGGTATCTATGATGAATTCAAGATTCGGCATAAATTTGCCATGAGTTTTAAGTCTGCATAAACTTGTGATGAATTTAGATCCTAAAACAAACTTGTGATGAGCATAAATTCATTGTGAGGCTGCAATGAGCTTAGATTTGTCATCGCGTATGCGCGATGGGCATGAGCCGCCACGAGACTGTGATGAGTTCTGAGCCTTCACAAACTTGTGGTGAGCTCAAGTCCGTAGCAAGTTAAAAACAAGGTAAAGAAACATGTGCTTCACTAACGATGTGCATGACATAATGCCCAATGAGATTAGAAAGACACGTGAGTTAAGTATTGACGTCATTCATGTCATATCAATCTAAGAGACTCGCAAAAGGAAATAATACATGTGTATTATAAAAATCCTCAGACGAAAGGAAACATCATCCTTAAGATATCTCTTAAAACACGTGATGAAACCTTAGCGATGTTCTTAGCATCCGACATCGAATTAAAAATTTTCTTTCATAATAAAAAATCAAACACTTTTATTTCATTCCTTTCAGAACCTCGGAATCTTTACTATAAAAAAAGGATCAAATCATAACAAAGAAGGATATTCTATTCACTATAACCTTCAGCCTACCATTTGCCCTCACCTTTCCTTCATCCTTCAAAGAGACTTCGACTTCGTACTTAACCTTACTACACTAGTCACAATTGGATATTTAGATCCACCAATTGAACTGTAGATTAGTTAGGGTTGAATCGGGTTGGATCGGTCTCATCCACATCCAAATCCTATAGGCTTCACTCTTACGAACTTCGTACCATTCACTCTAAATTCTGTCACATCACATAGTTACGTTGAAGTGTTCTCCAACAGCAAACTTACATTGTGGAATTGTGTTAGGACAGAAAAATCGGATGATGCCTTGAAATCGTGACTCCTGATTTCCTACTCTTTCACTCAGAGTTTCAGACCCAATCATACTGCCTTATCATTGATCTTATCTTATCCAACCACTTCGAAATGACACCAAGCCAGCGATTTCGCAGTAGATGAAGCCCATTAAGTATCCTGACTGGACCGGAGCCCGAAGTAACGCTAGGCTGTAGATAATGGGCATTATGGGCCCATGGATTTCCTGGGCGCGTATCCAAATTGTTCGAGATCGAGAGAAGGGATTTCATACTTTGACTAGGCAAAGAGCTAATTCAAACTCTGGAATAAGTAAGTGCCACCAAAGATCGGCATGCATAATTGCAGCCCAACAGGTGGTTGTTATTACGTTGTTCCAGAGACTTTACAACTTACGAAGGTGTCCGATTCTCTCTCTCCCTCTCTCTGCCACATGTTCCTTCTGTAAATATGATGAATTCGTTTAAATCCAACACAATTTCGGTTCTAGTGCACTTGATTTTTGTTAAAGATAATCGCTCTTTTTCGATCTCTGCGACAACCCTAATTACCAAATCTGTGACGTCGTCTATAAAGGAAGACGGAAGTATGCTTCATGCATTTAGATTAGTTCGGACGCAGCCACACCCCTTAGTTCCGTCGACGCAGTTGCCTTCTTCCTTGGGTCGGAAAACTTCTATCGTTAGATTCCCGCAAGCAAGGGCCGAGTCCAGGAAACCAGAAAAGCGCGAAAACATGGACAAGACCCAACACCAGAAAGACAAATCTGGGTAACTACTTCTACTTCTTTCCTTCATCCTTTTTGGTTTTAATTAACTGTGATCTGATTTGTTTGTAGCATATATATATATATATATATATATAGATGGTTCGGATCGTCTAAGAACCTTTTGAATAAACAACCATTAATGACGGCTTATAGTGACAGGGCTTTGATGTCGGATTCATTTGGGGAAGGATACTCCACTCGGAGTGATGAGGAAGGATTCGGAGGGATCTATGGAGGAAATCAAGCCCTCCCGAAGTCCGTCGTGGACAAAGCTTGTAACCCAGAAAGCTCTGATTTTGACAAGACACAAGGGAGTGAAGTGAAAGAGAAGGAGAAAGGGCGACACCAGACCAACGTCGAATAGAAGAGACGATCCATATCTATGATCTCTATCTTACGTACTGTGATTTCTGGTTCACTCTGCTGCAATATCTGGTTATATATAAAGAGCTAACTACCTGGTTGTTAGAATATAATGATATATAACTGAAGAAGTAGGTACAATGCAGAAATTCCAATTCCACAAATAATTGAGTGAGTGATGTCCATCTTTAATTAGTATAGTGTGCTTTGCTTTTGGAAGACTCGTTATTTATTAAGGGCGGGACCATTCTCCAAGTAGTTGCATTTGGCATTCCTTATTTCAAGGATTTATCTCTCTCTCTTTGCAGTTAAAACTCTCTTAATTTTCAAATCCGGGGCGCATTAATTCACATTATCAAAAATCCAGATCATCGCATAAATGTCTATAGGTGTGGGTACTTGGGCTGGCCCAATCACATGATCTACCCAGGCAGAGTGGGCCTGGAAAGTTTGGGATATCATCTACTTTTTGCATTTCTTTATAATTGGGTTGGGTGGGTCGGGTTCGGGTTGGGTCAAGTTACTTCGAGTTTATTTTGGGTTGGGTTGTCAAATCCAGGTTTGAGTAAAGGTTGACCTATGGATCAATTCGGATTATTCTAAAAAAATAATTAAAATTTAGAAAATAAAAAAATATATATATGAAAAATATCAAAATTTAAAAAATTAACCTTAAATTTTTAAAAAAAGTTGAATATTTAACAAAAGTAAAAGTAAAGACTAAATAAAAAAATTAAAGAGTAGAAAGCAATGCATAAATAATGTCAATAATCGGGTCAGCGAGTTGACGGGTTATTTGTAGTTAGATATGAGACGGAGAAAGGCAAACAACAGTTTAGTCTGGCAGGATGCATAGATATCATGCACATTTGCTCGTAGAGCACTAATCTGTTAAACGTTTTTAGCGCGTTTTTCTGCATGGACTGTCGGTTTTTACTTACAAGTCCGGTAGTCCGTCCGTGTTCTTGTTTTTTCTTGAAGCCCGGTAGTCAACGCATGAAGCTCGTTTTGTTTTGGGCGTTTTGTACTTTGGGTGATTTTGAAATGGAGCTTTTTGGTTAATTTTTTATTGAATATGTAGAGTATAAAATCCATGGTTTAAAAAACGATTCCGAAATGGAATTTCGATCGTTGGGTTTAAATGTATAGCTCGTTCGGATAAAAAATTAAAAAATAATAAAATAACAAAAAAAATGCCAAGGTGGGTCGACAGTTTGACCGTTTGAGTTAATGGATCGTTTATTGATTCAATCGTTTTTTTTGTTAGAATTAGGTATGGGGTAAAATGAAATTGGTTGTTTAGATGGTTTTTGGGTTGAACGGTTTGATTGTTTGGGTTTATGGTAGTTTGAAAAGAGTATTAATATAAATATATATTTTTGTATTCCTCAGTTTGGAAGGAGTATTAATACAAATATATAGATCGTAAAACTTTGTGCTTGTTTGGTAAGTTTTTTTGAGAAGATTTGTTATAAGATTTGATAGTTAAAAAACACTAAGATAGGATAAGTTTTTTCAAATAGATCTTGGAAGACTAAAGACTGTTTTTTATTTTTCTTATGAATATGAATATCTTGTATGTGGGTTAATGAATCTTTCATTTAACATGTGGAATCCAAAGACTGTTTTTTATTTATCTTATGAATATGAATATCTTGTATGTGGGTCTTTACATACATTTTCTAAGGTAGACCTCATGTACCATTGGTGGACATGTATGTGGGGCACATATGCATTTTATAAGGTGGGCCCAACATACTATTGGTGGATATGCATGTCGGGTCCATGTGTCAACATGTATGTGGGCCCACATAATTTTCAAGGTGGGTTTCATATACCTTCGGTGGGCATGCATGTGGGGTCTATGTGTAGACATGTATATGGGGTCTACATGTATTTTACAAGTTGGGCCCCACATACCATTGGTGGATATGCATGTGGGGTTTGTGTGTGGACATGTATATGGGGTCACATACATTTTTCAAGGTGGGCTCCACACACCATTGGTGGACATGTATGTGGGGCCCACATACATTTTACAAGGTGGGCCTGACATATCATTGGTGGACATGCATATGGGGTCCATGTATGGGCATGCATGTGGGGTCCATGTGTGGACATGTATATGGGGTCCATATACATTTTACAAAGTGGGCCTCACATACCATTGGTAGGTCCCAATTACACATTCAAAAAGTTTTTTGTGAAAAAAACCCATTTTTCTTCCAAGTGTGTGCATCGTGCCACACGTTCGAAGAAGACGAGGGGGCACTAAAAGATTGTAAAAACTTGTTGAAAAATCCCAAATTCGGGTTGTTAGCATCTTTTATGGGTTGAAGCTTTTTCTTAATAAATCTTTCTATTGCCAAACGGAAAAAGCCCAGAATTCAAGCTTTTGAGCTTCTAAACAGTCTAAAACCTACATGGAAAGATTTGCCAAACTTGGCTTTTATTTTTTATGTATTTAGATAGTTTGGAAGGAGTATAAATACAAATATATAGATTGCAAAATTTTGTATTTTGCATATATTTAGGCTCAGTTTGGAAAGAATACAAATATAAATATGTGCAATACAAGATTTTGCACCCTATATATTTGTATTTGTACTCTTTTCAAGCTGAGCCTAATCTATTTTGTATATATTTGTACTGTATATATTTACATTTGTATTCCTTTTAAACTAAGCCTTGTGAACAAATTCATTCTATATAGAACAAAACCCAATTAAAAGATCCAACAGAAAACAAAAACACATCTCTCATAGACCAATTCATAGTAAACAATTAGATAAAGGTCGGGCAGTAAACGAAATGAGAAGCCGATAGAGTCTCTTTGAATGGAATATTAACAGCACAACAGATCATGAGATCACGATTCACAATAGAATTAATGTATTCTGCTTTAAGTTTGAATTTCAGATTAACATTACCAAAAAAAAAGGAGTATAGATCGGAAAAATTGATTTTTGAAGAGAAAGATAGACTACGGCTTCTCTTATTGAAGAACTAGCAACATAACCACCAAAAAATCAGTCACTGTTTAGGTTAATTTAGTTATTAAGGCTCAGTTTGGAAAGAATACAAAATATAAATATATACAGCACAAATACATATAAAATAATACAAAATATAAGGTTTTGCATTCTGCATATTTGTATTTGTACTCCTTCAAAATGGTGCCTAAGTTTTGTCGATCACTTCTGTTAGTAACAGTCATATGAGGGGAGGTGAGTTTTGGATAAAGAAATATAAAATAATACATATGCTAATATGTAAAATATAATTATACATTATTTATTGATAAAATATGTTTATATTTATAAACATATACACATATATTAGTAAACGTGTACATGCATTGCATGTGACAATTTCTAATAATAATGATATCGATAATAAAATTTAGATGTTTTTATCAAAGATCATATAACAAAGATAAGTAATCAAAGTATGATTGATACCATAAAAATGATAATCAATTAGGTGGTTATCATCATCATCACCGTCATCATCATCTAAGAGCCCTATCGAAAATATATGGGATAAACTACTTGAATCCCCTTTCATTATTCAATTCTATTCAATGCTTATGTATCCTTAAATTGTAGGCATTTATATTTTTATTACTTCAATGTAGGTCTTTCTTGATTTACCCCTCACTCTCCTAGCCCCTTCAAAATTAAATTTATTATCTTTTTGAACAAATTTTATGTATGTTCATGCATGCACATGACCAAACCATCCCATTCCACTCATAAGTTCCTTCATATGCCACCAACCAAGTGGTATTAATTAAAATTCTTTAGTGGGGTATGATCGATTAAAATCCCTTTTTTTTGGTAACTAATGGAAGAAAAACTCAACAAGACCAAACAAGGAAGAAGATAAGAAACAAAAGAGACTAAGGCCTTGTTCGTATTTATCCGGGTAAGTTATTTATCCGGGTAAATGCACTTACCCATGTAATTGTTTCCCAAAAAAGATTTACTTGGGTAAGTACATTTACCCATGTAAATAAGGCAATGACCATTTTATCCACAAAAATTCATTATTATATGGGGCATTTTTGTCCCTTTCAAGTGTTGTCAACTTTCCCCCAAGGTGGGAAAGTTATTTACCCACTTAGGAGATGGGTGATACCCAGTAAAATAAACTTTCCCTAGTTCCCACATAAATTTGAATATGAAAAAAGAACATGAGATTTTTGGTCAATGGGAATCAAAATCCCATTGACCAACTTTCCCCCCTCTCAAAATCCAGAAAAAGAACGCCCCCTAAAGGGGAATACGAATCTTGGAAGGATAGAGCTGAGATTTCTTGAAGCCACAGGTGGAAAGTCTAAGAAGTGTTGAAAGCCGCCATGTTTAGTCGAATCCGATTAGCTAGAGATGGGCTAGAGAATTATGGTCTTTATTAAAATAGACTAAAGCAGGTAGAACTCCAGATTTTGCGATGTGACAAGGAGATTGATTGCCGTTATCGAGTCAAGGAAAACTACTGCCCTTTGAATCCTGAAAAAGAGGGCTTCTCAGATCCCGAGCTTGATCATTTGCATCTCAGCTCCAATAATAGAGGAAATAGGATAGTAATCACCTTTAGCAACCAAGCAAACAACTGATAACTCTGTATTTTGATGCCTTAAGGGCATCATTTCAGAGGTATTTTCAGCCTTAGAATAGTCAAAATGTGCCCTCTTCCCAATTAAATTCAATGTTGTGACTTCTAAGGGTCTTTGTGCAAATGTTGTGGAAAACTGGGTGGCACCCCTCCTACTGTATTAGCATGCTCCCCTCCTACTATATTAGTATGCTCCCCCCTCGTAATTCATTCTTTTTATCCTTAACAAACCCTACCCGCCCCTAGCTGATAAATCTCCACCTTCTATCCCTTCTAATCTCCACCATTCATTATAGGGCACTCTTTTTAGCTTTTTAACCCTAGGGCGGCACCTAACTTTTAATCCTCACCATTCAGCCCCTAGCCACTAGATCTTAGTCCTCTATTTCATTCTCTATCTTAGCCATCCACTCTAGGGTACCACCCACTCCTTTTAATCTCCACCTTTCAGCCCTAGGCGCCTCAATCTCCACCATCCAATTCTAGGCACTCAAATCTCAGCCCTACATAATATTGGGCGCCCTCTCCTTTTCTTCTCAGCCTTTGGATCTCCTTAGAATAATCCTAACCCTCCATTCTCAACCCTAGGGCACCCATATTTCTGCAAAAACCCAACTGCCACCCCCCTCTTTCTCTC